TTGTTTCCGGCTTAGGTGGAGCATTCCGGTGGGTAGCAGCGGCGAGGAGAGGACCCTCCGACCCGGGTCGGGGGTTGAACCCGGGTAATAGAAGGCTGCTAACTCGCTTGTCCACAGGGTAATACCGAAATTGGAAAGCTTTTTGAAAAGTAGGTGAAAAGGTGACTGACTTTTTCCAAAAGCAGAGAGAATGTCTTCAAAGATACGCTGGGTAAAACCCAACTTTGACAATCGTGCCTGAGAGCAAAAACTTCTCACCTCTCTCTAAAACAGTTTCTGTACCATTTGTAAAGATTAGAATGAATATACTGAGTTTTTAAAGAACAATTTATTTAAGCATTTTCCTGAACACACCTTTTATTTGACAAAAAAAATTATGAAGATAAATTGAGAAGTAAGTGTAAATTTTTTTTATAACTGAATGTCATTTTATTACTCAAACTATTGGAATAAAACAACCAACAAAACTAATTTTCTAGGAGAATAACTCAACTAAAAACTCCAATTTGATATGTGATAAATGAAGAAATGGACACGGTAGAACACAAACCAAGTAGCATCTCATATTGTGGATTATAGAAAGAAAGCAAGAAAAGCAGTTTCTTATTTTTTAACTTTATATATAACAAAATACTAAATAAGTAAATTCCAAACCCTAAAAAGAGTTTTAAAAACAAACAAAAGAAAAAGAAAATAAAAGCGAGAAGAAAAAAGAGACAGCTCTAGCTTTTCACCTACGTAAACACACCGTTGGCAAAATCTATGCCGTCCATAGCAAGTAAAACCCTTAAGTCTGAGATAGATGATCTCACACCTAAACTCGCAAGGCCACAGCCGCGATAGTGGTTAGTAAGATGACGGTCGCGGTTCGGATAGAGAGCTCATCTCCACCGCTTGGATCGAAACCGGTGCTCCCTGATGGTCCCATAATAGATGGAGGGAATACAGATGAAGTGGGAATTGCAGTGGTGGGATTGGTTGGCATCCCTGTGGTTGTGTTTCCGGTTGATGGAGCTCCGGTGGTTGAATTTCCGGTGGATGGAGTTCCGGTGGCCGGAGTACTAGTGGAGCTGCAAAAGAGTTACTTTATGAGACCAAGTAAACCAGTTGTAAAGATTCAGTAGCACATCTACACATTACTAGAATTGTCACTGCACTAGACCACTAGTCAACAACTATGTTGTGATTATTTTAAGAATCAATCTCCTTATTGCTCAAAACTATAATCACACCTCTCATTCAAATTAGAATTAAAATATACATAGATGCCTAGCATGGAAACAGAGGAAGATGAACATACTGATATTTTAATTGAGAGATAACCTTAGCTTGATAAACCAAGAAATCTACTAGAATCAGAGGGTTACAACTAAAAAGAATCCACTAGAGAAGTATGACTAATCCTCTAGAATATTATGGTTAATGTTTAACTAACTCTGTAACATACTCAACCTCTCCACTCACAAATTGAGTAAACAGTAGTCTCCAACTGATTCTTAGTAGCATTTGAAGATTAACAAATCCAGTTTAGCTCAATCACAAGTGTTGTTTGTCACACTATAATCATCATAAACTCATTACTGACAACACCAAGCAAACAACCAAAAATTAAACAGAGTACTAAAAGAACCTTATCTAGGGTCAAAAGAGGAGATAAAGTGAAACATACCTCGAACTAGATAAGCAACTCGAAGCATCTGCAAGAACACAATAAAGAAACAACAAAGTCAACATAAAAGTAATTGTTTGATGAGAGAAACTTATGGGTTTCGGAGAGAATACTTGAAGGAGGGGAAGTGGAGACGACGGCGGCGCCGTTAAAGTCACACGTTGCACCAGTAGAAGCTTTCTTCTGATAAAAGCTGTTAACGGCGACGTCACAATGGTTTTTGACGGAGTTGGGTTGGAAGCAAGCACCATTTTGCTCAATCTGCGAACAGTCAGCACCTGATCCACACGCGTAGTCTATTACCTTCTGCAGCGCTTGGTCGTCTGCGTCCTTACACACACAAACCGCAGCGTCTGTTCAATAACAAAGAAGAAAAGAGATATAAAAATCAGAATAAGGATCTCGGATCAGAATATGCAAAAGATAGAATCTAATTAACATAATATATGTTTGGTGAAGTGGAAAAATATGTAACCAAAGTTTAGCATTGCAACGAAACTTAGAAGCTTACTTGAATAAGTAACCATGGAGAAGATAAGAAACAAAGAAAGCAAAATTGCCATGGCTGCTTCTAATCAAGATATCTCTATAATGCTTGTTGAACAAGTAAGATGGACACTTCTTTAAAACCTAACAGTGTTACAGATACGAGTTAGTGTGCTTGGTGGTATAGAGAGATAGAGGGATAGGTATTCTTATAAGATGATCGAATATGTTTATTTTTTGCGACAATTTTTTTTGGATACTAATAAGCACTGTACAACACGTTAAAACCTTTTAGATCCCTTTTGTGTAATGACTTGTAAATGTTAGATTTTTAGTACGCAAAGCAGAGAAACAACAGAGAAAAGATGAAAAGCTGGCTTGTCGTTTAGTTGTTGTGTGACTGGTCGACGCACAAAAAGTTGTAGTGGTGACTTTACGTGAAAGAAAGATAGCTTGTTATTCACTAAGTTTCCTCCACATTTTACGTCTATCACATGCATTTTAGTTTGCTTTTTATAACATTTGGTTTATGTTAGGAGAATCTACTACGATTAAAATCTAGCTAACTTTTCCCTAGCTAAAAGTGGCACAATCATATATATGGTTAATTTGGTTTCCTTGTAATTGTAATTAAACATATGATTATAAAATAATTAAATAATATATTTGTAAAGCTAAGTCGCAGTATGATTTTAAAGCACTAAACACGATGAAAATGATAGAAAGCAGAGAAAAGAACAGGAAAATGAAAATAATATAGTCGCATAAACCAAGTGCAAAGTACTTAAGGGCTAAGGTAGCGAGGGAGCCATGTGCAGGATAAACTTTGCATCCGCACTACAACACGTATGATTAGGTCACCAGTCAAAAGGTCATACTACTATATACTAATCCGATAATTTAATGATTGATTTGAAGACGATCAGAAATAGCAATGAGCTTAATCGGAATCATAAAATAATAAGGGATGGCTCAATCAGGTTTTAAGTAAGATTCATAGTTTCGGATTAAGTTTTTGGGCTCATATTTTTGTATCATAAATAACTGCACGACTAAATTTCAATATATTCTATTCAGTTGATTGGATTTGTTTGAATTTTTGCAAGGGAATTTGGTTATTATCTTTTCTGAAAATAAAATAATATTAGTAAAATAAACTATTAATATGAACTTCAATATAAATAGTTAAAATATATAAATAGAAGAAAATCATTATTTTAATAATTTAACCATTGGAAATATACTGAGTAGAAATAAATATATCATTTTTTGGTAGAAACATACACTATACATAAAATCTTGAGAATTATACTTTTAAATTTATGTTTCATCTTGACACAATTATGCAAAGGCTCTAACATACATAAAACATAATAAAATTATATAATAAAATGAAGATGATAAACCTACTATCAAAGAAATAAATAAATAAAAATCACAAAACACTAAATGTTAAATAAATGGGTAAAACTAGAAAAACAAATTCATTGAAAATATTCAGATACTAGTGGATGTATTGATAAAGAAAAAACTATGAAAATTTCAAAGAGAGAAAAAATGAAGATGATCTAAATGTTACTTAAGTTTGTTATCAGATTTTTTTACATATATTTTGTATAGGTATTAGCATATTATCTTTTCATTCAGCAGGGAAAATCTTTATTAATATTTTTTTCTTGTTGTTTTGAAGAAAGAGTGATTACATTAATCGGGATATAAAATTTATGGAAACTATTCTCAATCAAGAGGATACGCACGTGTGCTGGACTATCTCATTTACGAGATAGTAGAGTGCTCTTCTCAAACTCAAGGGAGTACTAGGCGTTAACGCACAACTCTCGATTTATTACTTTCTAAATGAAGTTGGAAATTTTCGTTTTGGAGGACAAAATCCAAGGCCTTGGGATGGGATGGTCGACAGACTTGAAACAGCTATATCCTTCCTCCTTCATGATGGGTCAGTTTTAGAAAATGTACTTCCATCTTCAGACTTGGGTTTATAAAGCATCACTCCACCAATTAGATTTATTGGGAATTGAGGTAACTTGGGCCAAAACTTAGGCCACCTCTGTTCTGTAAACCTTTTTGTATCTTCTGTGACTTATGTCGGATGTGTATATTGCTGAGTTTTGATGCTTTTAAATTTTATTTTATCCCTCATTAATGTTTGTGGGTCTCTTCCAAAGATCTTGTTGTTTCAAAATTCATAAAATGTTACCTCTTTCTTATTACAGCTTATACTTCAAAATCTCGTCGGTTTTAAATATATCATTTTTTGGTAGAAACATACACTATACAGAAAATCTTGAGAATCATACTTTTAAATTTATGTTTCATCTTGACACAATTTGCAATGTTTGTGAGGTTCTAACATACATAAAACATAATAAAGTTCGATAAAATTATATAATAAAATGAAGAAGATAAGCCTACTATCAAAGAAATAAATAAATAAAAATCACAAAACACTAAATGTTAAATAAAATGGGTAAAACTAGAAAAACAAATTCATTGAAAATATTCAGATACTAGTGGATGTATTGATAAAGAAAAAACTATGAAATTTTGAAAGAGAGAAAAAATGAAGATGATCTAAATGTTACTTAAGTTTGTTATCTGATTTTTTACATATATTTTGTATAGGTATTAGCATATTATCTTTTCTTTCAGCAGGGAAAATCTTTATTTATATTTTTTTCTTTTTGTTTTGAAGAAGAGTGATTACATTAACCATCGGGATATAGAAACTATGGAAGCTATTCTCAATCAGGAGGATACGCATGTGTGCTGTGCTAGACTATCTCATTAACGAGACGGTAGAGTGCTCTTCTCAAACTCAAGGGAGTACTAGGCGTTAACGCATATTTTCTAAATGAAGTTGGAAACTTTCTTTTTGGAGGACAAAATCCAAGGCATTGGGATGAGATAGTCGACAGACTTGAAACATCTATATGTTTCCTCCTTCATGAAGGGTCAGTTTTAGAAAATGTACTTCCGTCTTCAGACTTGGATTTATAAAGCCTCACGTTGCCGATTAGATTTATTGGGAATCAAAGATTTAGAGCAGCAAGGATTGTGGTCCACTATTAGCATATTATCTTACGCAATAGCTAAACAAATGCATAATCGAATTCAAAATTATGAAAGTAAATTTTGTTTTATGAACCACTGCATGTATTATTATTCATTGATAAATAAAACTAATGGTATTCTTCACAATACAATATTTTCATACAAATTTTAACTCGTAATAATCAAAAATAAATTGTTTTTGTTTTTCATTTTAAATATATAAAATGAAAAGTGAATGAAAATTGAAACAAAAATCATTAATTAACTGTCATAAACAAGTTGTGTTTTCAAAATAACTATGTAAATTTTAAAATAAATCATGATAAAAATATGTAATATCAAAAAACTATAACATATCAAAAACAAAGAGAAATAAAGATGATAAAAACTAGATAAAAGAAAGTTTCTCTTCATAAATTGAAAATTACTAAGATCTTCATGCACTAATTGGAATAGATTCATCCAAGTTATTCAAATTGGAACGATAGATCAAATTTTTCCCAACATGATTTTTTTAGCTGGAAAACATGATTTAATAGAAATATGTTCATACATTAATATGGAATATGTTCATTTAAAATGAAAGTTCTGTTAAACATAATTTAGAACAATAATTATTATAAAATTCAAACAACTAGTCACTACACTCTAGTACATTATTGATCTGCCCAATGGTTGAACATAATAACAAATAAAAAGATAGCTGAGAATAATGTGAATGATAGTATATATCGATCTAAAATTTGCTAACATAAACCATAATATATGTGGACTTGAAATTACTCAAACTATACAATAAGTTGACAATAACAGAACACTCTAGAGCGAGAGGGACTGGCCACAAAGATATAAAATCTTGGCCCTGACACCCCGCATCTCTAGGGCCCCTTTAATAGAACGAAAAGCTTCTTCAAAACTCATTCTTCCTTGATTGGCGTATTCTCGTAGTCCCAAATCACAATATCTTCACCACTTTCAAGTGCAATGAGAGGGTTCGGGTTTTTGGGACCAATGGCACCGCCACGGAGACTGAGCACCAGATGAATTGTGCATTGCTTTTTGATATTGTAATCAGCTACAGTGAGGGCATCTTCAAGTAGTCTTCCTGCAAAGATCAACCGCTGATAGTAATTTTAAAATAAATCATGATAAAAATATGTAATATCAAAAAACTATAACATATCAAAAACAAGGAGAATTTTTTTTTTTGAAAAAAAAAAGAGAAATAAAAAACTGAAAATTACTAAGATCTTCAGTTTGAAAGTTGATAAAAACTGAAAAACTGAAAAAAAAAAAAAAAAAAGAAAAAAACAAGGAGAAATAAAGATGATAAAAGAAAGTTTGTCTTCACAAACTGAAAATTACTAAGATCTTCATGCACTAATTGGAATAGATTCATCCAAGTTATTCAAATTGGAACGATAGATCCAATTTTTTCCAACATGATTTTTTTTAGCTGGAAAACATGATTTAATAGAAATATGTTCATACACTAAAATGGAATATGTTCATTTAAAATGAAATTTCCGTTAACATAATTTAGAGCAATAATTATTATAAAATTCAAACAACTAGTCACTACTCTCTAGTACATTATTGATCTTCCCAATGATTGAACATAATAACAAAGAAAAAGATAGTTGAGAATAGTGTGAATGATAGTATCTATCGATCTGAAATTTGCTAACATAAACCATAATATATGTGGACTTGAAATTACTAAACCTATACAATTGACACATAAGAGAAAGTAATGATAATCACAAAGATAATCATTTTATTGGACACTCCATTTTTCTACACAACTATTTAAATGAATCATTGTGAGACACTTCCATACTTGATCAATCCATGTCTCATATCCAATCATCAGAAAATAATTTCTTCGATGATATTTTGTTATTCGATCACAACAATATAAAAAAACACTATTTTTTCAAATGATATTATGTTATTCGATCACAGCATGATTGATGATTGCATATGAGATGTGAAAAGTATTATCAAAGCTTCAATAATGTTTAACTTAAATAACTACCATCATAACTTTTGGAAGTTTTAATTTATAAAATCAGCCTTTTAAAACTAATTAGATTTTGACCCACGCAACCGCGCGGGTTTTATTTTTATTTTATATATATAAATATTTATTTTACATTATTAGTAATGTAGTCATATATTTAAATGTTTATAAAAAATTACAAACACAATAGTTTTATACTTCACATGTTAATAACAATTATTTCAATCGTTTCTTATATTTATCTTCATGGATTTGTATTTGATTTATTAAATAATCTAATATATGCATAAAAAATCATGTTTGAAAAATATTTTCTATTTAGTTAATACTAAATTAGCAAATGTTTCTGTTTATTTAGATAATATATTATATATAAAAGTTTATATGTTAATTTATACATGTAATATATAGTTACTAATGTTAACCTGTTTTGCCAGCGTATTATATTTTAACCTTAATATTTTCTATTTATGAAAATAAAATAGATTAATTTATCCATTTAATACAATTTTACTATACTAATTTTTTTAATATGATACATTATTATTTTTATAAAAGATAGATAAAAGGATATAATTTTTATTTTATAAAAGATAACTAAATATATTTATATATATTAATGTATAAATATTTTTTTTACTAATTAGAAATTACTGAAATGTTTTCATAATTTTTTAAAATTTAAGATCTTGTTAAATCTTTTTCAACATATATTTTTTAATTCTGAATATATATTTATATTTAAAATAAAAAAGATATCAAAAGATATTATGATTAAAGTAGTTACTAATATTTTATTATTAGAATTAATGAAATATATGTAAAAGTTTCTAGTAATGGTCCATTTAAAAAATATCACACATGAATCAAGGTCATGACTTTTGTTTTAATATATAAGATTTACCCATACAAAAACATACATGCATACCTTTGACAAAAAAAAAAAAAAAACATACATGCATACATGTTGTGAACTATACAGTACTGGGCCAGGCTTTATATTAACGAATCTAACCCATTCCATCCAACAATTCCCGAAAATCTCATCATTTTCGCTGAATAATTTCTATAATGCCACTGTCTCATCACAGAGACAGAACAGGAACTGAAAGATTGTCACGACCGGAGTTCATCTGAAACTCAAAAAACCCCAAAACATCAAAACAATGACCTCTCATCTCATTTCTCGATCTCTCCTCAAAACCCTAAAACCCAATGCAGTAGCCATCAGAACCATCTCCACCACACCTTTCCTCCTCTCCCAAGACCCTCACCTCGCAACCGATTCAACTGATCACATCTCCACTTCCCTTCCTCCAAATCCCGCCACAGGAAGTCCTCTCTACCAAGAGAATTGGCGTAGCCCCATCCCAAACTCTCCATCCCTCACCCACTCTCTAGTAGTCCCCGTTGGATTCGCTCCTCCCGCTGCTCGGATCAGAGCTATCTCTGAGACGCTCGACATGAACTCGCTGCTGAACATGTTTGCTGATTACACCACGTCGCAGCGTTGGTCGGATATGAAGCAGCTTTTTGAGTTTTGGGTTCGGTGTTTGGATAAGAGTGGGAAGCCTAACAAGCCTGATGTGAATCTTTATAATCATTACCTTAGGGCTAATTTGATGATGGGTGCTAAGGCTGGTGACATGCTTGATTTGGTTGCGGTTATGGATGATTTCTCTTTGGCGCCTAATACGGCTTCTTATAATATTGTGTTGAAGGGTATGCATCGGGCGAAGGAGTCTGAGGCTGCTGAGAAGCTGCTTAACCGGTTAGACCAACTTAGATTGTGTGCTGATTCTTCTGTTTTGGTCTGCTGCTAAATTACTGGTCAATGAGTAAGGTTTAGTGCAAAAGATTTTGATTTTTACATGATTAATCAGGAGGGTTATGTTTGAGAGCTGTCTATGGAAATGGGAATGTAGAGTGTTTTGTTATGTGTCATGACTTGGTGTGATTAGTGGTCAATGAGTAAGATTTATCAGATATTTTGTCACATATTTATCAACTACTGAAAATGATTTTAATTTACATGATAAGTCAAGTCGGTTATCTTTGAAAGTTGTCAATGCGAATATAGAGCGTTTTTTATGTATCATGACTTAGTGTTGGTCAATGAGTAAGATTTATCAGCTATTCTGTCACATATATATATCAACTAGTGCTAAAGTTTTGAAAAAGTACATGATAGATAGATAGAGAGGGTTATGTTTGAGAGCTGTCACTCTGTGAGTGTGAATGTAGAGTGTTTTGTTATGTATCATGACTCGATGTGATTTCATCAGGATGCTGTTATCAAAGAAGGATGAATCTCTTCCTGATGATGAATCATATGATTTGGTTATTGGACTGCTGTTTTCGAATGGGGAGAATGATAGAGCCATGCAACTTATGGATGTCGCACTAAAGTCTGGTTATATGTTATCCACCACAGTTTTTAGTGATTGTGTACGTAGCTGTGTAGCCAAAGGTAGGACAGATACATTAGTCTCTATCATCGAGAGGTGTAAGGTACATACAAGTTTTTGTATGTCTTAGGTTGATGATGTTTGAAGCTTTTCCCGTCCCTTTTATTGATTGTATACGTGTTCTTGTTTTGTAGGCTCTTGATAGGAACAAGTCCCTATGCCCTAGCTGGATACTGTCTACTTACATGGCAGAAGTTGCAACTCAAGCGGATAATAGCAAATTAGCATTCTACGCGTTTGAATTCATGTACAAATGGATCAACAGAGGAGAAATGGCTAGACCCTCGGTGTTTCTTTCTGTTGATGAAGGATTGGTAGTGTCAGCTCTTGCAACTGCTGCTAGGACATGCAACCCAACTCTAGTAGATGGATCATGGATGATTCTGAAACGGTGCCTACGTGGGAAAAAGGCAGCCAACCCTGCGTCTTACATTGCCAAGATAAACGCTTATGCTTCCTTGGGGAACCTGCAGAAAGCTTTCATCGCACTACATGAGTTTGAAAACGCATATGCGGATGCTGGAAAAGAAGTTGTGGACGAAATGCTTTCACCTTTTACATCGTTATACCCTCTGGTTTTGGCCTGCTCTAAGAAAGGTTTTGAGTCCTTGGATGAGGTATACCTCAAAACATCTTTTACAATCATGGTCTTAATGTTTAGGTTTTCTGACCTTGTAATGTCATGTGATTCACTAGGTATACTTTCAGCTGGAGACATTGAGTCAAGGTGATACTCCATATAAGTCTGTTGCTGCTCTAAACTGTATAATTCTTGGGTGCGCAAACACATGGGATCTTGATCGTGCTTACCAGACGTTTGCTGCAATAAGTGATTCTTTTGGGCTGACTCCTAATATTGATTCGTACAATGCTTTGATATATGCATTTGGAAAGGTCAAGAAGGTGATGTTTACATCTCATATCACTCCCTCTTTCTCTTATATATATATATGATTTCGTTGGATGAACAATCATGCCTAGCTTGGTTGCTTTGCAGACTCAGGAGGCTACAAAAGTGTACACTCATCTGGTTGGGGAAGGTGTTAAACCTGATGCCAGAACGTATTCATTGCTGGTTGATGCTCATCTCATTAACCGGGATCCCAAGTCAGCTCTGACCGTCATTGATGACATGGTAAACCAGAATTGAAAACTGACATAAAGATCTGTGTTGATTACATGGCTATGACGAGAAACTAATGCATGCTTTTGGATCAACGCAGATCAATGCAGGGTTTGAACCTTCAAAGGAGACATTGAAAAAGCTAAGAAGGAGATGTCTCAGGGAACTAGACGATGAAAAGGATGCTCAAGTGGAGTCATTGGCCAAGAAGTTTCAAATAAGGATGGGATCAGAGAACCGCAGGAACATGCTTTTCAACATGGATTACTCTAGGGGCCGCGCGTAATGCAATGTAGTCCCAAAATTAAATGGTTGTAATAACGAACCCTCAGTTTATAGCTACAGAGGAATCAGAGTGTGGCCATCTCATCAAGTGTGTTTGGTCTTCTCCATTTTTTGCAGAAGCTCTTGTGAGGTATGAAGCTCAGGATCATCGACTGTTGTAGCTAATGGACCATTTTCCCCGTGTTTCATTACTTCATTATATTTATTTCGAGTCCCTAATCTGATTTTTCCATTACATAACTCGTTGTTTTTCTATGTTGGATACAAAAAGAGTTGGGTTTAGGATCGCTAGTCTCTAGCAGATGCTTTCACGCAGCGTTTACCAATAAATTTCAAAAACTTTTTGGAGTTCTCCTTGTTTTCTGTATCTTTATAAAAAGAAAACTACATTTTATAAAGAAAGCTTTGTTTCTTGTGTACAAATACTCATGCATGATCTTGTACTTCACTTTTAGTAGAGTAGATAGATACAGTAACACTAACCACCATGCTTATGCTTTTCCATCTTGTAATCCGTGGAGAATGTAATTGTGTACCGGTATGGTTGAGACTGTTAAACCGGAAGTGAATTAGAAGGAATGCATTTCTACGGGCCTTAGAGAATTTTCCGGCCCATTTAATAGATCCAGGTGGCTTCTCGAGAAATCTCCGTATCACAAACAGTTTTTTCAGAACAGTTCACCTGAGATCAAAAAGACACGAGAAAACCCTAAAGTGATTCGAAGAAAAGGGAAACAAGATGACTGAAAGGGAAGATAACGAAGTTGGGAGAGGTAAAGAGAAAGAAGAAGAGCAAGACGGCATGTCAGTACACTCTCCCTGTAAAGCTTTACTACCTTCCTCTGCTTCCTCTCTCTCCAAGGTTTCTCTCTTTCTTCATCTGCCACTTACTCACTTCCTCTTCTTGTTCTGTCGATTTTTAAATGGTTCTTTCTTGGATTTGATTCTCAGGAGCAGTCACAGGTTGAATTGGAGCTCACGTTATTAGAAGCTCTTGAAATCTATCCTCCCGTTAAACTCCGTGGCAAGTTTTTTTTCACATTTTAGCAAAATCTTGATCCTTGGCTTGTTTTTACCGTTAGAATCAAGAAAGTATAAACCTTTACTAAAAAGGAATCATTTTTTTCTAATGTGGTGTGCAGGCATACATCGTCACTTTGTTCTTTACGGTCTGATGGAATACCTCGGCAGAAGGTTTGTATGACATTTCCTGATTTCTAATTGATATTTGATTTTTCTGAACCTTTCTCTAAACTATTTTCTGTTCATAGTTTTGACAGACAGTTCACAGCAGATGAGGTTCTGCAGCTGTTGGATCGTTTCTACAACATAGAGATGCTGGTGAGTTAGTAACGACAACAAACATTGGCTATTATGTTTCTCAGTTGGCTTCTGTTGTCACTTCATGACTTGCTTTAGACTTGTACTGATTGTTTGATCTTTTACCAGAAATCAGATGATGAGGACATTGACATTCTTAATCATGAAGAAGACTTCACCTTGCCGCAGAGTTTCTTTGATAAGGAAGAACAATGACATCAGAAGAAGAAGGAGTAATGGTCTTTGCTTCGTTCTCTCCCATCTTTTTGTATATGGTTTGGTTAGGTTTGTCCCCAGCTCCTATTCTACTGTATAGTATGCAGTAATACTAATATAGAACCATCAGAGGATTACTGATCTTTTCATGATGATTAGTTCCATGGTTGTGTTTGTTTGGTTGTTTGGGAGTTTCTAATAATACAGTTGATTGTGATGTATATTGTAAAAAGCAAAAACATAATATAAATGCATAACATAAAAGATATTTGATATCATGAGATTGACAAACAAAAGAAATAACAAAAAAGGTAAATTAAAAAGAACAATAAATATGAATTCAGTTATCTCTGATCCCATCTCTCTGATGAAACCAAGCTATTGAGTTTAATCTGAACTCATTCAACTTCCAAAGCCTCTGATCATTTCTGAAACAAAAAAAAAAGTTAACAAACATTAGCTTCAACCTAACAAGAACAACTTAGAGTAATCTCAAATCAGGTTAATTACATCAGAGGCTTCTATGATCTTGCAATGTTCTTGCTCAGACTTGACGTTGTCTTCTCCTAAAACAAAACAAGAAACATCCATTCAATCAACTCAAATTAAACCAGCTAGTTGAGTCATTAATCAAGGCTTGTGATTTTCAGACAGACCTCCATCTTCAGGAAGATCGGAAGTCCAGAGGGTGAGATTGTCTCTAAGGAGCTGCATGATCAAAGTGCTGTCCTTGTATGACTCCTCACTTAGAGTATCCAACTCTGCAATCGCCTCATCAAAGGCCTGCTTCGCCAAATGACAAGCTCTGCAACATTCACATTAATTGACACCTAATGATATTTCATTTAAGGTAATGATGTTTGTTAAAAAAAAAAAAAGAGTGAGACCTTTCAGGAGAGTTCATGATCTCATAGTAGAAAACAGAGAAGTTAAGAGCAAGACCAAGACGAATCGGGTGAGTCGAAGGAAGATCAGTGCTTGCAGCTTGTGTTGCAGCCTCATAGCCTTTGAGAGACTGTTCAGAAGCTTCTTTCCTCTCTTGCTCGGTCTTAAACTCAGCCAAGTAACGGTAATAATCTCCTTTCCTACAAAAAAAAAGTTAAAGTTTCATTTGCAGATAATAATACAAAAGAATGTTTTCATTTGTTTCTTACATCTTGTAATAGAAAACGGTGGCTTCACCAGAGGTAGCATGAGGGATAAGATGCTGATCAATGATGGAAAGAATGTCTTTACAGATATCAGCAAGCTCATCTTCCACCTTCTGACGATAACCCTTGATGTGTTTCACGTTTGTCTCATTACCTTTAGACTCTTCCTTCTGCTCAATCGAAGACATTATCCTCCACGAGGCACGTCTTGCTCCGATCACGTTCTTGTAACCAACAGACAACAGATTCCTCTCCTCCACCGTTAACTCGCTGTCAATTTTCGCCACTTTCTTCATCGTCTCAACCATCTCTGCAAAAAAAATAACATTAACCAGAACTATTGTAGTTTTGATTTCTCGTATAATATATATATTAAAGAATGTATTTGATTAAAACCTACCATCGTAACGCTCGGCTTGTTCGGAGAGCTTAGCTGTATAGACGAATGTCTCTCTTTCTTTGTCGGATCCTGACGACATCTTTTGTTACGATGATGTGTTGGAAAACAGAGATCTATTGGTTTATGTTGTGTCGGGAAAGAGGGAAGAAAGAGGTATATAATGAGAGGTTTGAAGATGGTTCGTGAATTGCGGAAGAAGAAGACTGAATCTCAACCTTTAGATCCGAGGTGTATATGTGTCTGCGCAATTCCTGGCTTTTCCTTCAATTATTTGTAACTAACTTAACGATCTTAAAAAAAAAAAAAAAAAAAAGCTTAACGATCTTTTCGTTCCGTTATGATGTGAAACCTAAAAAAATAACAACTTAGGGATATAAACCATTGATGTCACAACTTAGGGATATAAACCTAAAAACGGTCCTGAGAAGCAAAAGGGGATGTAGCTCAAATGGTAGAGCGCTCGCTTTGCATGCGAGAGGCACGGGGTTCGATCCCCCGCATCTCCACATTTTTGGTACTAAGTTATACTCATTCACTTGCATTATTTTAATGCTTTCAACTCAAAGTTAATGGCGATGATGTTGCTTGAATGGTAGATAAAGTCAATGATGTAGCTCTGATGCAAGAACATGATCAGTGGGGATGTAGCTCAAATGGTAGAAGCTCGATTCCCCGCATCTCCACATTTTATGCTGCTATACTCATTGTTTAACCTAATTTTCTTTTATTTAAAGTTTTTGATTACTTTTAAACATTTACTTTTTGTTATTACAATGTTTTTGCCAGAATAGTCATGAGTCTATAATCATCCTCATACTTTTCCAAAGGATGATTGACATCGGCAACCCAATTCGGAGATTCTTCCTTCTCCACAGTTGATTTGCTACCGAGTTGACTCAACTAAAACTATCTCCAAACGCCATCATGTCAATTACTCAAGATTCTTCTCTGCGTCTCCACAATCC